TCATCAACTTTAAATGCTCATAACATCCAAGCTTAAAATCCAGAATTTACAAATGATATATCAAATTAAAGCTTTATGAATCAACTATCTATTGAAATAGAAATCTCCTCAAAAGTTTGACCTTAGGAACAAATATTACAAAATTAATAAACAAAGGTTAGAATAGTCAAAGTAATGAAATTAGGCTAATGCAGGTTGAATTAAAATGGCCAAAATTAATCACTCAAGCATAATTAAAAGCCTATTAACTTAAAGAAAAAGGTCAAAACATTGGCTCAAAATATTGCTCATCAAGCCATTGAAAAGTAAATGCATTTTGTTAGTATAGGTAATACTAATCAATTCCTTTAAGCTATCCTAAATTGTATAGTCCTATACCTACATAGTCTCTAGATCCCTCTCATTTTGATGTATGTATGATTCATTCATGTGTTCCTTACCGCTAGAAGCCTGCCAAGAGCTATTTCTTGTCTGTGCCACATTGCACCGGCGATCACTTCTTGCCCTCATCAACGCCTAGATGTCACACGACCACCAGCTTGTGCTTTGTTCGTCCTCGAACCACACTGTACTGGGAGAAGCCTTGCTTTGATAACACCCTAGGTTTTATATCCAAAATATGTATAATATTCTATATTCATATATTCATATAAAAAAAATGATTTGTCCATTAAACTGATAAGGTAAAAGTAAGAGAACTTTTAAAACTTTTTTAGAATATGAACCTTTCACAAACTCTATTAATAAAATAAATTAATACAAGGTAAAATGAAGAGATACATATTAATCATGTCTATCGATAATTTTAAAACAACTACTAAGTATCCTTTCTATTTACATATCGTAATAATTTGCAAAATGTTGTTTAGAAGCAGTAGGATTTAAAATAAATAAATACATAACCAAACTGAAGTAAATCCTACAAGCAGTTACTGTCCAAACATCAAAATCAAATTGGGAATACAGTGCTAGTCATCTTCACTATCCCAGCCCTCTATTTTAGCTATATTTGTGCTACAACCTCTACACTAGTGAAGCTCCTAAAGGTCTACATAGTAGGTCTCCCAAACGATCGTGATCATAATAAATATACATATTATTTACAATCCTTGGAGGCTGAACAGTGCCTCAGTAAATATAAAAACATAGGACATGGTGAATTCTACTATTTCTAGAAAAATCAAAAGGTACATCATAAGTCAAAATTATTTCTAAAGTACATAATTCATTATCTTCAAAATCAACATTTAAATTAAGATGTACAAACTCATGATATTCCCTAAAAACATAGTTCAGTCTATTACGTACAGTATACTATCTAAGACTAATTCTTCTTTGGAGACTCGCCATCCTTATTTCCTGAAATAGTTAGTAAGGATGAGCATCTACTTTACCATTTAATATAACTCAATTTCAATTATTAGTATCATAACACAATTGTAATCATGAAAATACAAATAACTTTATAATTTCAATCATAATTTAACATATCAACAATTCTCATAATATATGCTGACTTGCATCATTCCATAGTCGAGTTACATGTTTAAGTGGTTAGACATGTAGCAATCAAAAAACACTAGCTATGTTGTGTCTGGATCTAGATACCGGGATGGTTTGCCTCTAAATCGAAAAACTTTAGGTTCCTTCTAGATTACTAAATGTAGGGAGTTTTGGCATATAAGACTTGGGTGAGCTATAAGTAAGTCATGTTATTTGGGTAATATATTGTTAAGCTAAGATGTGAAGGATTACTGAAAGAGTTGCGTTTGTCATTCATATTACTCATGAATATTAATATGATGTTGTGCTGAATGGATTAGATTGCGTGAAATGCTTGATTTTTGATATATTGCTATATGTTGAACTTATGTGCAATGCTGTGTGGCGAGTGTGATGATTTATGTGTGTCGTGCTTAGTAGATTATTTGTATAGATGAATGATTAATTCTATGATAGAGCCAGGTGTGAGTGTTCTAAATTGGACCAGTGTCAAACCTTCCTCCACCTTACATGAATTGGATGGCTAACGCTGGCCATTGTAACAATCATAAGGAAAAGCTTAGACATTGCTCTGAGTGCTATTGTTAATCCAATACATATATATTAGATAATATTTTCAGTATTATATTTACATATACCTTTCTTATATCAAATAAGAGATTTAGTGGGGCGGGAGACACTCACCCCTACTATTATTTTCAGGAAGATGAATAAGAAGAGATAAAGATGGTTGGTCTGTTCTAGGATCACAGTCCAGTAGTATTAGAAGGAAGACTGCTCTATAGGAATTAGAATAGTTTGAGAAATTGTAATATTTTATCCTAATTACATTTCGTGTTGACCAAGTTATGTAAATATTTCTTTAATGTCAGATTTTAGAATTTATAATACTTTGATGAATTTTGTTGTAATGAATAATTTGGAGATGTTCTTAATGGTATTCTAAACTTATATGTATGTAATGTGAACCAAATAATTTGCTAGAAGTAAATTAAGTTTTATTTATTACTTTAAGGTCTCAAAATTATTCCTTTAGAAGTTTTAAATATTGTGAAATTTTATATAATTTTTATAAGAGGAATGCAAGTTTTGCTTTTATTCGATTCTTACATCTAGGAAATAAAACATAATTATTCTATTTTCCCCTTTGCTATAAAATTTTATTTATTTACTTTATACGAAAACGATGATGTTACAATTGTCACTTTGTGTGCCTAGAGTGATAACTTTCAGAATTCATCTTTTGATTCTCCACTCTTCAAGTCCAATTTTTCCACTTTCTTCAATTTTCTTCCTTTAAATCTCTCCCTCACGACTTATAGTTCAGATTTTTCTACAAAAATTCATTCTAACCAAAAAATTATATAAAAAATTGTATAAAATCTAAAATAATTAAACTACTCAAAGAACATTGAACATTTAAGAATTTTAATGTGATTTTGAGCTTTATTAATCAACTTTACTAATGAACTACTAAAAATTGAGCTAAAATACTAGTAAAATGTGGATTTATCATCTTGTTCTATCGAGAAGTGGATAAGGTTGTCCCAACAACCCTCTCCTTATAGCAAGAAATCATTGTTGTAGCTAGAATGACAGATAACAGAAGGCAACTATTGTCTAATTTTTTTCGCTGTAACGAGAGCTACTTGCTCTAGCAAGAAAGTCACGAGTGTAGGGACCATTTAATGGACTTCACGTTTAAAACTTTCATTTTTCTCACTAAACATCTTCCCCTCTCATTTTCTCTTTGTTCTCTCACCCTTTCTTCTCAAGCTAAACTCCCCTGAAGTTTAAACCTCTTCCAAATCCAAGCGTGAATGTTATTCCGTTCTAATTCATGTAAGTTCCGGAGCTTAGTTCTCCAACTTCTTTCCTTATTCTTTGTTTCCTCTCTCTCAAAGAGTTTTTACCTTGTAGTACTAAGTAGATCCGAGGTGATCGGGCCATATTCTTCCATCTAAACATTGTGTTCCTCTTTTGAGACTCGATAGTAGAATAGTCTATAACATATATATTAGGTAAGGGGAGCTTACCGTAGATGACCTTTATTATTCACTCGGATGTTATGATATTGTATATAAATCTTGTTTTAGCTGAGAATAGGTTGATATATGAACAAACCTTAGGATAGAACACAAAGTATGTGTGATGAGTTCATTTGTTATTCTGTGAATGGTATAAAATTGTTTTTGTTAACTTGCATAATTCTATAGCCGAGTTACATATTTAGGTGGTTAGACATGTGACCATAGGAAAACACAGAGTTATGTTTTGTCTGGATCCAGATACTTGGATGAGTCACCTCCAAACCAAAATTTTTTTAGGTTTCTTTTGGATTATTTGAGCTATGAAACCAATTAGAACTAAACTATTGCATTAGGCACAATTGTTGCATTACTTTGCTGAGTATTTTTACGTATTAATATGTATATTTATATTACATTGTATTAATATTAACCATTGCATTCTATCTGTGTTGATGTGTGTGTTGTGATGATCGTACGGTGGTATGTAAGCAGGCGTGACAGGTGGTGCGTTCACTTCCCATGCTAGAAAGTCTGTCTGAGGAGTGATTCGAGTATGACATTTTTGGGATTTGTAACTTTACTTTTTGTTAGTCTAAGTCTTAGTTGTGGGTCTAAATTATTTAGTTACAAATTTAGTCATGGAATGTAATTTTGATTATAATTTATATTTTGAGCTCCATATCAAGCAACTCTTATGTAAATATTGTTAAAGAACAATTATAAATGTATATATTCAAAATTTTATGATGATGCTCTTAAGGCCCTTTTTTATTATTGAAATGTTGAGTTTTTATTTTTCATTGATCATCTTGAATTAAGTCTCGATTCTTTTTAAAATGTGAAAATTTTATACAAGTTTTAACTAGATAGTATGTCACAAATCCTTTCCAAAAATGGATTGACATACTCAGAAAAAGAAAATATTTTATGCATAGTTAAAATGTCTATGCATAGGAATTACTCATTTATTTTATATGACTAAATGGTATAATTGTGTTTTGTGTTTTTTACAATAGGAGAATTTTCTATACCTTCTACGTCAAATATGGCTACAAAGGTCATAATTTAAATTATCTCTTCACATTTTTTATCATATTAAGATTTTCAACTGATTTTAATTTTCTAACTTTTCTAATTTTATTATGACACTTGTAATTACTTTATTTGATTTGAAGGAAATAGAATTATTTTCTTATTTTAATTATGACAATTTTATAATATTTTGTCTGATTCTGCAGCTAATTCTGTGCAAGAAAGGTTTCTATAACTTTGGCTTCATATCCATTACTTCTCCTTGCATTTCTTGAGTTGGAATTTTGGTACATACATGAAGCCATCATCTAAGTGATTCTTTGAGTTTCTTCTACGGATTTCATGCTTAAAGAATCTCCTGCAGTTGCATCCACCATAGTTTTAGACACTACATTCATTCCATTGTAGAAGGTCTCCAATTGCATCCACTTTGGAATGCAATGATATGAACATCTTCTTAGCAACTCTTTATATCTTTCCCAAGCTTCATATAGTGATTCTCCTTCTTGCTGCACAAAGGATGTGATTTCCCCTCTCAGTTTGGCAGCTTTTGATGGAGGAAAATGTTTGGTTAAAAATTTGTTCACAAGCTCTGTCCATGTGGTGATTCTCCCTTGAGGCTGTGCTTGTAACCAACATTTGGCCTTGTCTCTCAAAGGAAATGGAAATAGCCTCAGTCTTATAGCATCTTCACTTACTCCATTCATCCTTATAGTGTCACATAACTGCAGAAAATTAGAAATATGTAAGTTAGAATCATCATAAATTTCACCAAAAAATTGATCTTGTTTTACCAAATGAAGCAAGGCTGGTTTGATTTCAAAGTGATTAGCTTGAATGGTCGGTCTAACTATTGAAGAGTTATAGCCCTGCATATTTGGAATTGCATAATCTCCTAGTGTCCTCATTCTATGTTGTTCTGCCATTTCAATTTCTGGAGTTGGCTATCCTAAAGGTGAATGTGTTTTGTTTGAACTAGGAGTAATTTGAATCTCTGGAGAATATATAACCTATAAATCACTATCACCTCCTAAAGAATTTTCTGCTTTAGCCTCCTTCCTTAATCTTCTTAGTGTTATATCTATGTCAGGATCAAAGACAAGAGTAGACTTATTTTTGTTTTTGCTACGCATGTACAAGTTAGAATACAGATATAGTAGAAAGAAAACAACAAACTGCACTAATTCATGGTATACAAATGCAAATTAACTACTTGATATGATATAAAATCTATCAGGAATCAAAACTATACAAACAAATAATTAGCTATCAATTGATTACAAACAAAAAAATTTTAAATGTAATCTAACATTGCAGAAAATTTAAAGAAAACAAATGCTCAATATAGTTATTTTCTTGTTACTAATGATATTGAAAACAAATATTCCCTAGTAACGGTGCCAAAAACTTGTCACTCTCTTAGCAGAAGTAATTTTGACTAGCAAGTATACTAGTGTTATTGTAGCAAGTAATAAAATGTTAGAAATGTGTTTGAGTCCCAAATATCGTTCTCAGGGAATAAAATTTTCAATGAATATGAAATTATGTATTTGACAGATGTAGAAAACATAGTTAGGGACTTGTTTCACCAAAACTTCAATGTTGATTCAATAAAGTTTTGAACTTTCAAGTATTTAGATGGAATGACAATCAGTTTCACATTTTATTATTCAAAGGTTAATTCCTTAACTCAATGAATCTAACATTTAACTAAATCACTCTAATTCCTTAGATCTGGTTCAATCAAATGTTGCATTAAGCATTAGAAACCAGAAGATTGCAAGATCAAGATATCTTATCCCTAAGAAATCAATAACCTTGGTGATTGATTCAGGTCTGAGAAACAAATTCAACTTCCATTGATAAGAGTTCTTCTATAATTAGTTAATCAAATTTTCATTCAATCACTATGTGAATAGCAAAATCAATTACTCAATCCAATCCAATACTCAAAGTTCAGATTCAAAATCAATTCAACACTTCTATTTCAGATTCACAATCCCTAACTACAAAGAGTTTAAGCAACCATTACAAAATGAGAAAAAAAAGAAAGAGAAGAAGAAGATGAATGAAGAAGCATCTTCAAGCCAATCTTCAATCTGATTCCTCAAGATTTGAAGCTTGGTTTTCGTCCCTAATCTCTCTCTCAGACTTTCTCAACACGAGAAAACAAGTGGAAAGTGAAAATGAACAAAAGATTCTAAGACATCTGAGCTAATTCATATTTATAGAATTCCTGCTTTTCTGGCGTGATCACTATTTTTCATAAAAGTAGTCACGCAGAGGCCTTTCTGATGTTCTTCATAACTGGAATGATCACTTTTCTTCACAAAAGTAGCCATACTGAGGTCGAGATTTGTGCATGTTCACTTTCGTTGACAAAAGGAGACACACGCAACTTTGCAGTGATGGAAGGTTCTTTGAAACGATCACTTTTGTGAACAAAAGTGATGACGCACAACTTGCTTTCCTAGAGGCTTCTATGGAACGATTACTTTTGCCAGGAAAAGTGATCACGCGCGTTTTGTTATATTGGAGCTCTTCTCTGGAACGATCACTTTTGCCAGGAAAAGTGATCACGCGTGTTTTGCTATGATTGAAGCTTCTCTGAAATGATTACTTTTGCCAGGAAAAGTGATCACGTGCAGTTTTTCCTTCACTTTTAAACTTTGGAACGATCACTTTTGCTAGCGATAGTGATCACGCCGAGCTCTTTCTTCATTAAACCTTGTTCTTTGATTCTATTTTTGCTACTTTCCTTCTATCTTTCAATCTCATGAACTCAGCTCATAATTTCTTACAAAAATATGATTGAATAATTAATTTCTACACAAAAAATTCATAAATTCTAAAACAACTATGTGTTTAGAGAAAATTTTAATCATTCTATTATTTTTATGAATTTTTTTGCTTTTTCCAACATGTTTTCTTTATTAGAGGTATTAAAACTAAGGTAAAATACTAATAAAATATAAATTTATCACTAGATTTAAATGGTAAAAAGTTATCCTATTTATATAAAGAAAAGTATCAACTTCAGTTCTAAAATAAGTAACTAATAATAGTAAAATTTTATTAAAAAGAAAAATATTTAGTGTACTTTATATTATATAATAAATATATACTTTTTCATAAAAATTTTCTATATAGATATTTAAATTCAGGTTTACAAAACCTAAAGACACATATTTAAATGAGTGAAAGACAAAAATTTACATTGAATGAGGTAACTCAAACTTATAAATAGGTAAAAACAATGGAATATGCTATTTCCATGACACAACTTAGTTTAATGATACTGGAAAGCACGAGAAAGTTGAAGTTCTGGATTTGAAATGGGTTGTTTTTATTTTATCTTCTCCTTCTCACTTAATTCCTTCTTTTTGGTATAAAAAATATTGATGCATTCGAAAATTGTGAATTTGATTTTAGGAGGCTCATAATATATGTGATTTGAGAAGAATAATCAAAAAAGAAAAGTGAAAGAAAAAAGAGTAGAAAAATAAAAAAAATTGAAAAAAATAAAAATATTTGTGTTCGTAATTAGAAAGTTATTTTAATTACAAAGAAAAAAATAATCTTTTAAACAAAGAATAAAAAGGGAAAATAAGTTTTTCTCTTAACTTTTTATTTTCTTCGCCATCGTAAATAGAGGAGATTTAATGTGGGATTCCATTATACTTTCTTTCTCATTCGTATGAGGTATTTTAAATAATAGAAAATGTGTAAAAAATTGTGTTTTTCTTAGAATTTTTATTAAAACAAATAAATCATAAATATTCCATTAAATTTTCTTATGTTTAATAAATAATTTTAATAATAAAATAAGATATAATTATTTAAATAAGATATGCGCTCAAATTTCACAAACTTAACAAAGTTATAATCTAATTTATTGTATTTTATTTAAAAACTGGTATTTTTATTTTATTTTATCTTACACATGCTATTATTTAACTTCAACATTCTTTCTTAAAAAAAAAAACTAAATAGAATACATAAATAAATTAAAAATATATTAAAATTTTGTCAAATAGTTGAACCAATTTTAAGTAATCTATTTCATGGACTATACATAGCCATGACCTGCAAATGCTCCGTTGGTCTCATTTGTTTACGTGGTTTTCTTATCGCGGGGTAGACTTAAGGTAAATATTATTTCACATCGTGACGAGACGAGAGATACGAATAACAGTACAAGTAAAAGAGATAAAAGAAGAAAGTAAAATACATAATAATTTTTCTAAGAGGGTGAATCCGTATCAAAATGGCCCTGGCGAACCACCCAAAGATTAGTATTTAATTAAAAAAAAAATGATATGCTTCTGCAGTGACAGAAAATAAGAAAGAGAAGGGTGTGGCCTACCCAAATGACGGGTTATGAAATAAAATGGAGAGGAGAGGAGAGGAGAGGAGAGGAGAGAGAGTCTAAACCTAAAACCCTTCCTTTCTTTCACTTCCCGCCCTCATGAGGGAAAGCAAACAGAAACACAAACAGAGACAGAAACACATTTGCTCGGTGTGTCAGTGAAATGCATAAACTTGTACGCCCTTCTTCTTCACTCCCTTTCCTCTCTGTGGCTACCCCTTTTCTCTCGTTAGCCAAAGTTGGAGCAATGGCAGCTTCTGGGTCTTCCCTTGTTCCCTCTCTCTCCGATAAGAACCGTTTTGTTCTCAAATCCACTTTCTCTTCTCGCTATTTGGCCAACACCAACACCAACACCAAAACCAACACCAACACCAAAGCCAACACGTGCTGTTTCTGTAACAGGAATAGGACGCAACCCCTTCTCCTTAAGAACTCTCCAAAGGCCTCTCTGCATTCGGCTTCAGACGCCTCGTTCCTCACCAGCCCTAATCCTAACCCTTTCGAGGGCTCAGCGAATGATGATTTTGCAGAGAGCAACGACGCAAAGGAGAAGAAGGTCTTCAGCTTCAGGCTAAATAGGAGGCAAAAGGCTTCTTCCTCTCCCGTTCCCTCAAATCCTGATTTGTTGGCCATTCCCGGTGTGGGCCCCAGAAATTTCCGAAAGCTCGTTCAGAATGGTATTGCTGGCGTTGCCCAACTCAAGCAACTCTATAAGGTTAAGGTCTCTCTCTCTCTCTCTCTCTCTCTCTCTCTCTCTCTCTCTCTTCCTCTTAGGTTTTCTCTCTCTCTCCCTCTTAGGTTTTCTCTCAATATAGCTTTGCTGAGTATGTTACAGCTCAATTTATAGGAATATATGTGAATTACTAATGCCGCTGCCTGTACCTGTTTGTCGATGCACTCTTGTTCCGTTGTAAAAATTAATTAACTGCCACTAGTTCATCTTTCATTCAAGTTGATTTCCTATGAAGAAAAGAACAAAAAATAATGTTATTCGGTTATACTGAACTTTTGGCAATTTTGTTTGTTCTGTTGGGTCATCTGCTGCAGTTCTTTGGCAAATCTAGCGACAAGATGGTTGAGTATCTGCAGAGTTCGGTTGGGATAATCCACAAGAACCATGCTGAAAGTATAACTACTTTTATTAAAAATAGTGTGGATGAGGAATTGGAAGATAATTCCTCCTCTGTGCAGCGGCAGCAGAAGAAACGGCTAACGTTCTGTGTTGAGGGTAATATCAGTGTTGGCAAGACTACCTTCCTTCAGAGAATAGCCAACGAAACGATAGAATTGCGTGATCTTGTCGAGGTGGTTCCTGAACCCATTAGCAAGTGGCAGGATGTTGGACCCGACCACTTCAATATTTTGGATGCTTTTTATGCTGAACCGCAAAGGTACGCCTACACCTTTCAGAACTATGTATTTGTTACAAGGGTGATGCAGGAAAGAGAGTCATCTGGTGGAATCAAGCCTCTTCGTTTGATGGAGAGGAGTGTATTCAGTGACAGGATGGTGAGTATTTATGCCTTTGGTCTTCTATAATGCCTCTTTGTTTGACTGTCTTGCGGTCTTATTCTTTTCCTTTGGTTTTTGAGCAAGGGCATTAGTGTGCTCTTTTCTTCTCACATCAATATGACCTTTAGAATGTCAGTTACAAAATTATAGCAATTGATGGATTTTAAACTGTGTACTTCTTTCATTTTTCTGTTTGGTATGATACTATGATTTGAGTGAGAGAAAGGGAATCCTGTTTTGGCCCTTTTGAGTTTAAAAGGCTTACTTTTTTTCATCTTGTTGCTCAATGAAGGTTTTTGTACGCGCTGTTCATGAAGCTAACTGGATGAATGAGATGGAGATCAGTATTTATGACTCGTGGTTTGATCCTGTTGTGTCCTCCTTGCCTGGACTTATTCCTGATGGTTTCATCTATCTTAGGGCAAGTCCTGATACTTGCCACAAGAGAATGATGTTAAGGAAGAGAGCAGAAGAAGGTGGTGTCACCCTGGACTATCTCCGTGACCTCCATGAAAAGCATGAAAGCTGGTTATTTCCCTTCCAAAGTGGTAATCGTGGAGTATTATCAGTCAATAAGCTGCCTCATCATATTGACAACTCTTTACACCCTGATATAAGAGACCGTGTATTTTATCTGGAGGGTAATCACATGCACTCAAGCATTCAGAAGGTACCATATATGGAAATTCCATGTCTGAATTTATGATTTGCTGTGGTAGGCTGTCTTAATCATTTTACTTACATTACAAGCAGGTTCCTGCATTGGTTCTGGACTGTGAACCCAATATTGATTTCAGCAAAGATATTGAAGCAAAGAGGCAGTAAGATAACTATCTCTTACTCAGATATTTGGTTAAATTTCCATAACATGGACTAAACTTTTGTTCCATTAGATGCTTCTTTGTTTGTGTTGAAATATTATGACTCTTATTGCCGTAGGAGTCTTATTATGGTAGCGTTGTTGTGCTGGGCTTTTAGCAGTTGTATGTTTGGTTGTGGGACTTAAATCCTTCATCTCAAGTATGGGATTCTGATATCAGGTTTGTATGGCATTGACTTTTCCATCACAACGGCCAACTTTATGGTTTGGTTCTCCTAAAGTATCAGTTGTTATTAGAGCCTTCCACCATGTATCAGTTGCTAACAAGTGGCAGGGGTGGTGATGCTGGCATTGCAGTCTTTGCCTAGAACTAGATTAATGCACAGCTAGCCTGTGCGTGTGATGGGGCTGCAAAGTGAGGTGGAATGTTAGGGTATGTTTGGGAGGAGGTTTTTCAAGGGGAAGGAAGGGAAGGACATATTTTTTAATTTTAAATTAAAAGAATTATATATTATTTATAATAACAACTACATTAGTAATAGATTACGTTTTTGTTAATATATTAATTTATATCTTTTATTTTTAAAAAATATTAATTTTAAATATATTCATTTAAAATATAAATTTTGCCCTCCCCGCCAAAACCCTCCTTCCCAAACAACCCCTTAGGTTCCAATTATAAGTTATGAAATTGGAGTCCCATATTGGAAATATGAGATTTCATTCTGAGGTTGTGCTCTGCCACCACAATGGCCAGGTTTTGTGGTGTGTTTCTCCCAAGGTTTGTGTCATCATACTTAACTAGTAATTGATTTGGATTGTTAGTGTATATAGGAGTATTATGTTAGTGATTAGGTAGTTTTAAAGGTTAAATTAATACCACACTAAGATAGTTTTGTCAAACCATATGAAACTTTTGGTTTTTCTTGCTTTGTTCTTTCTTAATTTATCTAAACCCTAAAGTCTCAATTTGATGGTTATTCTCATTTTCACCGACAGAAAGTTCTGTTTAATGTGTATTGTTAAACTTGGTGACTAGGAGTTACTTCCACTTCTGTTGAATTGGAGACATGAAAGGGAAAAGTTAAGGTTAATGTGTCAGAATACAATGTAATAAAGGACTGGTTTTGTTTAACATGCTTAATGTGCACTAAATTGGTACACAACTTTTCTGGTCAGTTTCACATGAAATTTATGCATTAGTCATGTAATTGGTTGATATAGCACCCAAAGAAAAAGCATTAAGTAATTTTTCTTAAGCTGGGAGCCTGATCATGGCTACAATTTAAACTTACACTTCGGCAGGCATTGGTTTAGGAGATTGTGTTTGATGCAAAGCATATATTTGTCTTGTTTTGTGTGTATTGTTAAAACTGTTTCTTGATATTATACGCTGGGAGTAATATGCTAATGGATGACATGTTTGTCCTGCAACTTAGGACAAGGATTATATATTCTGTCTTGTCTGAATGGATGTTTTCCATCTTGCTAAAATCATTTTATTATTTAATTAAAGGCAAATCTGTAGGACCATTTGGTACTCTACTGGTCTCACTTTTTGAGCCTTTTTTCTAATTTTAGGCTTAGGCATAATCTGCAAACCTCCAATCCTGAAGGCTGTAATATACAAGTGATTGTCCAACATAGTTATCTTGAGAAATATATGTGGCATTTGTGAAGTATATTAGGTGTGCATAGGATGAATGGACTCTTTGTACTAGTATGATGCTGATTAGTGTCATAGTTATCACACGAGTGTTATTTTGTAACATGAAATCTAATGTCATTATTTCAAATTATAGAGGTACGCATTACTTTTATAGTGAACCATTACACTACAGGAGTGCATGAATTCTATCCAAACAAACAAATTTCCATTAATATAAATTATGTTATCAATTATTTCAAATCCCACAAGAAAGCTTCTAAAACATAGGTCTTGAAACAATGAATATTGATTATTTTTTTGTTTTCTTAAATTTGCACTTTGCTGAGTTATTGCATTCCTCACTAACAAATCCTTGAGTTATCACTGGTTCTTTATACTGGATTTAGTGAGTGCAATGTTACATTTTCTGCAATTGAGATATCCAGAATTAGATATGTAGGTATCCAAGATCTCTGTTTCTTAATCAGGAAAATTTATTAGAATTACATTGGTGAGAAACTTATTTACAAGAATATACTCTATTAAAATGTTAATCCATTGATCCCTTAATGCATTGTAGTTTTCTTATTTTTATGCCTGTGGTGCAGATATGCACGCCAAGTTGCAGAGTTCTTTGAATTTGTCAAGAAGAAGAAAGACGATCCATCCAAGGAAGCTGTTGAAGGTGAGAAGAATAGCCAAGCCCAACCACAGGTGCTGCTACCTCATGAAGGAGGCCTGTGGCTACCAGATGGAAAGCCTTTTCCCCAAGCTAGCCTCAAACCTTTGGACTTCAGACGAGCAATGTCATTCATGTCTGGCTAGTGGCTGATAAACCCTGTGATTCTGATCAATATATACTACTAATGTCCCCATGTTGACTTCATGTTTTTCATGCATGTAAAGATTTTAACTCCCGACCCTGACTGATGTAAAGATAGTGGTGGTATTTATGGTTGTCAAATACTATGCTAATACTCTGTTTGCTTAGCTGTAGATTGTTTTTCTTTCTTTGATTAGAAAGATGGTCTTTTATAATGTATCATTCTCTTTGAGCGCATTATTTTGCTCACTCCTTGTGTTTATTATATTATGAATCTGTTCTCCCAAATCTAGTTCTTTCAAGAAGTTTATTAAAAGTGTGGTGGCTTTTAAGGAAAGTATAGGAATATACAGGACTTGTTGAAGCGGTTGGGTTTTGGGATCATTAGTTTATTTCGTTGCAACAGAGTTTTGGTTATTGTTTTGGAATTTTGCTGGTAGAATTGAAAGAAAAGGAGTCCTAATATAACGGAGGGTGAAATATTTCCCACTCCCATCAGATTACCTTTTATTATTGTTTTCAAAGTTGGATTGGTGAGCTGGTGAAGAAGATATTACTCTATGAATTACAAGTTTGATTGTGACTGGGTTGTAGTCAAATTAGTAAAAACTAGATGTATATTTTTAACTATGCTAGTTAAATAAGATTCATATTTAAGATAAAATCTGATTCAAATATGATCCGATTTGATTCTCCTCCCTATTTTGTAATTATATTAAGTTTGTAATAAAGGCAGAAAGAATTTTTAGCCAGCATTGTCTATATATTTCTCATACATTTCTAGTCAATCAATGAAGAATATTATTCTCCTCTTAAACTTATATGGCAGTAGAGCTTCGGCTTTGATCTCCCTTTTATTCACCGTGGTGAAAATTCTGAAGGCTAGAGAAAACTGCTCAATAGAGAAAGATGAGGATCAAAACACCTGCATCCCTCTTTTCATGAATTTTGGAAGCGTCAAAGTTGAATAACCAGCATCTGTGATTGATACTTTGTCCTCAGGTTCGGATGCATCAATGGAGCCAAAGCCATATTTATTTCTCCCAATAGCTAAGGATGTCTATGAAGCAATCTGCAACTGCTATTCTGACTTGGAGAACTCTCATCCCAGATCTTTATTCTAAAAAGTCGACTTTGGTAGTCCAAACAAGACCATGATGTCACAATCTAATACAATATTATGGCGGTCTTTGACAGGAATTGGACTAGTGTTGAGGACAATTGGAAAAATTTCAATGATGCAGCCAGATTTAAGAAAAGAGAGAAAAATGATAAGTTTAAATGTTCCTAGCAAGTCTCAACCAAGAATTAGATGAGGTTCGTGGTAGAATCCTAGGCAGAAAGTCCAAAATGAGTGAAGTATTTTCTGAAGTTAGGAGGAAAGAATCAAAGAGGAAGATTATGATGAGAAGCTCTAACAATCTAAAAATGCAAGAAGTTAAAAGTTCTGTCCTTGCTGCTAAAGGACACGAACCAGAAGGAGAGAAAAAGAAGCAGCCTTGGTTTGTCACGTTTATAAATAATCATACTAGACTAACATGGATTTACTTGATGAAAACAAATTCTGAAGTTGAGAACATATTCAATCTTTTTCTCCACATGATACAAACTCATTTTCAGGCAAAATAAGAAAGTCAGAGAATTTAAAGTAATAATAGCAGAGAGTAATTTAATAAACGCAAATAGATTTTTCATTCAAAATAACATAATTCATCAAAGCTTTTGTACAAATACTCCACAACATATAGAAGTAGTTGAAAGAAAAAAATAAGCGTATGCTTGAAGTTGCTCAAGCCTTCTTTCAAAATATGGCCCCAAAATATCTTTGGGATGAAATAATCTTAATCAAAATATATTTGATCAATATGATGCCGAGTAAAATTTTGAACTTCAAAACCCCTTTCAATATTTTCAAATTATTTTTTTTCAAATAATACTGTCATGCAATTTATTTCTAAGAATTTTTGTGCATACTCAAACCAAATCAAAGTAAACTTGAACCTAGAGAAAAAAGTGTTTATTGGCTATGCTCCCAGCAAAATATGAAAATTCAAAAATTACCTTAGACAATTTCTGAATAAAGTTAGTTAATTTATTGAAATTCAAAAACCGCTATGGGCAATTTTCAAATTTCATATTTATGTAATTCTCTCTAAAATCTTACATTCTGCTATATAATATGTTCAAATTTCATATTTAATATAATATCCCTTGTGTGGGAGGGGAGGAAGAAAAAGAAAGATGCCATCCAATATTTTCAAACTTCACAAAATTTAGAATTTTTATTTTCATATTTCATACCAAAAACTATTTTAACTTCAAGAACCTCTTTTAGAAACTACAAGTTCAAATTTACAAGCTATGTTAAGATCTGAAAATTTTCAAATTCAATAAAATAAAGCAGTTATAGCAGGTGATAAGGATGTAAAACTCTTTGATCTTGTTTATTTTAGAAAGAAAAATCTTAGAGAATAGTCAAATGATCATCAAGACTACCATGAATTTGAGGATCCATCAGGTCATAATAATTCTAATCCTATCCAACCTGTTCAATCTACTAATAAACATGTCCTTGATGATTCTGACCCACATATTGCTATTAGAAAAGGTAAAAGGTCATGTACAAATGATCCCATTTCAAAATTTGTGTCGTATGAAAACTAATCTCTTTTGTTTAGCTTTTACTTAAGAAGGGACAAAAATATAAAGTCCAAAAGACGTACAAGCTACTGTGTGGGTTCTTGAGTGGAAGGAAACTATCTTGAGGAAATGAGAGCCCTGAAGAAAAATTTAGACATGAACAAGAATATACTTGCCTAGAGGAAAGACAACTATGGGGGTGCAAATGGGTGTTTACTGTCAAGTATGAGGCAGATGGATCTATTGAGAAATACAAAGCTAAGTTAGTTGCTAAATGTTCCACTTAGACTTATGGTATTGATTACTCAACAACCTTTTCCCCTGTTGCAAAGTTAAACACTGTTAGAGTTCTTTTGTCACATTAGTTGCAAACTTAGATTGGCCATTACAACATCTAGATGTAAAGAATGCCTTTTTAAATGAGAATTTGGAGCAAGTTTATATGGATGCATCCCAGGGTTTGGTTAGCTTAGTTGCTTGGTTAGTTCTCAAAATGGAGGGATAACAAGTAGTTACACCAATCCATAATAATGGCTTAGGATTTACTATCAAATCTAGACTAGTTTCTACTCATTCTCTAAAATCAGGGCTGTTCTTGACCTTTTTGGGACCCTAGACGAAATAGAAAATTAGGGCCTTTAAAAAAATTATAAAATATAATAAACAAAATAAAAACATATATTAATAATTTTATTAAAATAATACGTTTTTTTAAGTGGCTATAATTTTTTCTAATAAAATTATAAAAAAAATATTTTTTCATTCAAACAACTCCTATATTATAATTAACTACAAAAACACAAAAAATATAAAAAATGAGTTCTCTGAACATTCTGAGATGCAAAATCATTAATGATAACATTAACATTAATGTTTTCTAAAAATTCTTTATCGATTGATAAAATTGTGAGACCATTCAACGATTATTGTAACATTGATGACCTTAGGTAGGTTTTGATTAACTTTAACTCTAAAAAACTTCTTTCAATTGATGATATAGTCATCAGGACTGTAAAAAAAATTCTATAAGTAATTAAAACATTTAGATAACAATCTGTAGATTTTACAAACTTAATAACTTTAATTTTTTGGAGAAAACTAAAATTCTCCATGAGATTTAATGTTAAGAATAGTAAAATTTTGGAATTAAATGAAGTTTTGAGTTTACAAAAGTCAATGAGTCGACTACGTTTATAGCAAGTGAGGTGCGAAGAATTAAAAGGTCTCTTTTATTTTTTTCAACTGCAAATTGTAAGAACTAAAATTTTTTTCAAGTAAAAGTAGGACACGATTTTTACTTTGGGCCCTCTTTTAAGCTTGGGTCCTAAGTAATCGCACCTCTAAACTACCCTTAGAAGCCTGTCTAAAATATGTATTCTTTTGCTATACTCACTCCCAAAAGTGGTGGGTATAAGCGTTATTCTTCCACTCATTAAATCTCCTTGTAATTCTTCTCCATGCTCACAATTTTCCCACCAATGAACTCTATCTCTTATTTGCCCTATGACCATGCTCCACAAGTACATTAGCATTGATATCATCAATCTCTACCTCCGTAAGCCCAACAATACACCTACTTACTTGCAACCAGACTGATGATGCTTCCATTGATCGTCACAGTTTTTTATCTACCCAAGTTTCCTCTACTCATTTTGTTACATTGAGTTATCATCATTTATCTTCTTTCCTCTCTTTCTTGCCTTTTGATGTAGATGATCTTCCTCATCATGTTTGAATATGCATGGTTGATAGAATGTGTGCATTGCAGCAAAATAGTACCTAGGATCTGGTTCCTCTTCTTCCTAGATAATTTGTTGTTGGCTGTCAGTGGGTTTTTATCGTTAATGTTGGTCCAAATGGCCAGGTTGATCGCCTCAAAGCTAACCTTGTGGGTAAAGGCTACACTCAAATATATGGCCTTGATTATGATCATACTTTCTCTCGTCCTTTGTGGTGACCTATAACATGCAAAGGTAAAGAGGAGCTTGTGGCGGGAAAGTTTGTTACGCCTTCAGAACACATGGCAATTGATCTAGGTTTAATGGAAAGAAGGCAAGGCTCTCGTGTGAAGAAAACCAGTATTAAGCTTAAGAGATTTCAGTTGAATTAGTGTGTGTGAGGTAACTTTCTATCTGAATTCCTTTGATTCCTATCTAAAAATTCTCTGTGATAACTTTTTGAATTCATTCTTCTACACCTGCTTTAGGTGTCTTCTCTGCAAAATTTTTCTGGAGGCCATTTTGGATGCACAAATACGAAGCTATAGCGTCACTTGTAGATTCTGTTTCAATTTGAATTTCTTCTTTGTAGTAAGATTTGAGAAATCAAATTTGCTGTACCAAATTGTTGAAAATTCAATACAAACTTCTGTCACGTTTCATTGGTGCTTTCATTGATATCAATGGCTGACACTCGTCTCAAAACGCTGCAAGACCAAATTATTACTCTTACGAGCTGGATGAATGGTCAAATTGAACGAGATCAGATTCAACATGATCTTCAGGCTCAGTTTCAAAAATCACAGCATGATCGCTTAGATCTAATGCAACAATCGATAGATATATTGATTGCGAATAGTGTTCAGCACAATGATAGTTCAAACTCAGACGGTGATCCTCCGCATCAAACCTTGCCTTTGAACGTTGTTCCACCAGTGGAAGACATTTCTCTTGGATTTCCCCATTTTGATGGTTTTACTCCGGTGCTGGAATGGATCTTTAAAGCGGAGAAGTTCTTTTCGTATCACAATACTACAGATGCTTCGCGTGTTGATATTGCTGCTATGCATTTTGACAAGGATGTTGTTTCATGGTTTCAGATGTTACAGAAGTTAGTTGTGGTCTCTACTTGGTTAGAATTGACTAAGGCTCTGGAATCTCAGTTTGGACCTTCACCATTTGACAATCTTATGGCTGAGCTTTTCAAATTGCAACAAATAGGTTCTGTTTCTGAGTATTATTTGCAATTTATGTCTCTTGCAAATCGTTCCTTTGGTCTTTCAAAGGATGCATTTCTTAATTGTTTCATCAGTGGTTTAGACCCTGATATTTGACGTGATGTGATTGCTATGACTCCTTCTACTTTGTTGAGAGCTGTTGCTTTAGCGAAA